TTTTTTTTCTCAGGTCCTGTCAACTTCTGCTGCTCTGCACACAGACTCCTTCACCAGGAACATTTAATCAGGTGCGTGTTTATCCATAATCAGTATAAATTGCAAACATTGCCAAATATATTTTTTTTTTCTCAGGTTCTTTCAACTTCTGCTGCTCTGCACACAGACTCCATCACCAGGAACATTTAATCAGGTGCGTGTTTATCCATAATCAGTATAAATGCAAACATTGCCAAAATATTCTTTTTTTCTCAGTCCTTTCAACTTCTGCTGCTCTGCCACACAGACTCCTTCACCCAGGAACATTTAATCGGTGCGTGTTTATCCATAATCAGTATAAATGCAAACATGCCAAAATATTTCTTTTTTTTTCTCAGTTCCTTTCAACTTCTGCTGCTCTGCACACAGACTCCTTCACCAGGACATTAATCAGGTATGCGTTTATCCATAATCAGTATAAATGCAAACATTGCCAAAATATTTCTTTTTTTTTTCTCAGGTCCTTTCAACTTCTGCTGCTCTGCACACAGACTCCTTCACCAGGAAACATTTAATCAGGTGTGTGTTTATCCATAACAGTATAAATGCAAACTTTATTAAAATGTTTCTTTTTTGCAGATTTTAAAAATTTTTCCTGATGCTCAAAAACATCATGAGTTTGAGAACTCATTCATGTAAATGATTCGCAAGTGTTTGTTTTTTAATAACTGCCTATAATTATGCATGATTAACTTAACTCTTACTAATCACTAACACGACTAACCTCATAACTTAATCAGTTATTATAAAAAACCACTTGCTGAGTTTTACAATGAATGTCTTGCTGAGGTGCTTGAAAGACAGCGCTGATTGATTTATCAGGTAATTTATTTTTATAGTACATTTTATGAGACTTGTTACTAATTCATTGTTTTTGTTCATAGGGTAAACGACAACTTCAAGCCAAATAGTCTTCAACTCTCAACTTACTCAAGACTTGTTCTCCAGCAAAAACAATCGCTCGAACTACTAATTATGTCGTCCCAAGTAACTACCTCCGTCTTGTCGTCAGGGGGAAGGTGTCTACTGTGATATATATTTAGTTAAGTGCATAAATGTTAATGAAAATGAATAAATATATTGTATTTAATTCAATGTGTTGTTTTGTTTTAATTTAATTATGAGCCACTTTACGGCCAAATTACATTAGGCTGTAACGTAAATTACAAAGATATTTAAACATTTCTAACATAACAAAAATTTCTTATGTTATCAATAGGGATACTTATTAAGTGCACTCTTTAGTGTAGACAATTGTGCAAAACAGTTTCTTTACTGTTGGGTTGTTTGCAACCATATTGCCGCATCTTGGTTAAGCTCTTTATACCTTTGTTTCGATTCGTAGAAGCGAAAAACGCGTTGACAATGGACTTTGCTTTTTTCCAACACTTATGTTAGTCGAGTGCCTTAAACATTTAATTCGTCGGACCGATGTTTTCTCTTGTTTTAAAATTTACACTTTCTATTATGTCTTTAAATGGTTGCACTCTTTTTCTTAGCTATAACTATCACTTAATTTAATATCACCATGTGTAATATTATATATATATAGATATATATATATATATATATATATATATATATATATATATATATATATATAGTCGAGTCGATTGAGTCGAGTCTGGATGCTCGGTATGGGCGTGTTTCTCGCTTCACAATATGCATTTCATAACTTTTATTCAAATTAGTTTTCAAATCTTTTAGTTATTCATAATTTTTTCTAAGAAAATGTTTTTCTAATATGTTATTAAGGTTAAATTTTCTAAAATAAATTTTTGTTGAGTGTTTTTTGTCCTGTGTTGCTGAATGATGACACGCATCTTGTTCGAAACGTATAAGTAAAAGTTTTTATACTTTATACCTTTTTTATTTCGACGAATGGGCTGCTAGTTACTTTGAAATATGTTTCAACGTCAAAAAAACTATCAGATATATATATATATATATATATATATATATACTATGATATGTATAACACATAATTTTGACGTTGAGATATATGAGTAAGTTCATGAGGGCGATACATCAGAGAAATTTCTTTGTTAGATGTATCGCCCTCAAGAACTTACTCATATATATATATATATATATATATATATATATATATTATATATATATATATATATATATTATACTATAATGCATATATTATACCTTTAGACAAATGTAAATATATTTTAGTCATTTTCATTATTGTAATTGTAAGAATAAATTAATATAATTGTATTATTAAATACTGTGATAAATTATTTGGGAGTTTTGAATAAAACTAACTAAATTTTATTTGGAGTGTTTCATTTCACACCATTTTCAGTATTATATATATTAGAAACATACCGTACAGGTGCAGGTACTATAAACTGATAAGCTAATGTTATCATAAACATTAATATACTCATTAATTCGTTCTTCGAAGAGGATTTAATATTTTGAATAAATATCATATAATATAATTTTTGTAATCTAATTCTATGATGATTAATATTGTTAATGTAGTTATAAATTTGGCCATTTTAAATAGACTAATCTATGGTTTTTCACTCATTTTTCAATCACTTTAATCTATTATACGATTATTTAAAGTCTTAATTAGTTCATTTAATTATTATACTTTGATATTGGTAAGTTTTACTTATCTATACTTATAAAAAAAATTACTTAACTATAACTTGTAAAAAAAAAATTTAAGTCTCAGTCTTGTGTTATTTTCTCTTTTGCACAAGAATATCTTCAATATTTTGAATATATCTTAATTTTTATTCGTTAATTATTACATAATTACATCATATTCTTACCATATTTACCCTACCATCTCCTATTTTACTTTACACTACCTTACCATAACCTTACACACCTTTACCTAATACTTACCTACGTTAAGAAACAATGTACTCTTACCTTGCTTACCTTACCACGTCTCGAACCTGCTACCCTGTCCTCTCCAGCGACTCCCACCTCCCAACGCGCGACGCCACGACGATCACATTAATAAACCGTTACAAAGTAGGTGATATTATATATTTTAAACGAAAAAAAACTAACAGTTCATATTGCCAAAAAAAATTGAGTTGGTATGGCCTCTGTCGGCGTAATTGGTAGAGTGATGGCTTCGTACCGTAAAGGTACCGAGTTCGAATCATACATCAGGACAAAAAACGGAAAGAAGTAGTGTTGTTCGCGTTGAGGAATTAATTTATTATAAGATAGCACAAAGACAAAATTTAGATGACATTTAATAAACTAAGAGGTCATGAGGCCGAAAAAAAGCAGATTCGGCGTGGCCTGTGTTGGCGTAATTGGTATAGTGATGGATTCGTACCCAAAGAGTGCCGAGTTCGAATCATACCTCGGTACAAAAAATAGAAAGCGTGGAATTTATTTATTGTAAGATAGCACAAAAATAAAATTTAGATTTAATAAACTAAGAGGTCATGAGGCCGAAAAAAAGCAGATTCGGTGTGGCCTGTGTTGGCGTATTGCTAGCGTGCTAGCTTCATGTCAACAGGGTACCGAGTTCGATTCATACCTCCGGACACAAACGCAAAATAGCGTGACTGTTGACGCTGTGGAACGAGGTATGCACGGAATCACATCCGTTCGAATTGAGACCCCATGCAGGTATGCTCCCCTCGATCACGATTGAGAGGAGAGATACGCGCGAGAATCCCGTATCATCCTAATGAACCCCGCAGCAGCCCCGAAAAGGGGCGAGGGGGGATTATAGGGGGGTGTGGGGTTCACGAACCGCGACCCTGTGGTCCAACCCTCCTCCCGAAAAGGGAGAGGGGGGACTATAGGGGGGTGAGGGTTCCGCGCGACGACCAGCCCTGGTCGCGCCGGTTGAAAAACTGGGTGCGTCACACAGGGTGGGTCGGTGTGCGAGTCCCCGGAGCACCATCGAGTGCGATGATGGGGATGTGGGGTGAGGGAAATGCGGTGACGAGGGAAAAAGGGGTGAAAAGACATGAGGAGGGAGAGATAGGAATGGCGGGAAAGGTGGGGGGAGAGATAAGGGGAGGGAGAGTGATAAGAGGGGAGAGATAAGGGGAGGGGAGAGATAGGGGGGGATGAGATAGGGGGAGGGATGAGAGAGGGGGTGAGAGAAGGAGGAGGGACGGAGCGACGGCGCGGACGTAACAAAAAAAAACATTTTACATCGCGCATTTTACATCGTTATGTAAATGCGCGGAGTCTTCTCCTCTAACGCTTTACATCCGTCCCCACCTCCCCCTCTCATCCCTCACCCTATCTTCCCCTAAATATCTCCTCCTCCCATCTCTCCCCCCCCTTATCTCCCCCCCCTTATCGCTCCCCTCTTATCTTTCTCCCTCCCCTTATCTCTCCCCCCACCTTTCCCGCCATCCCTATCTCTCCCTCTCCCTATCTCCCTCCTTATGTCTTTTCACCCCTTTTTCCCTCGTCACCGCATTTTCCTCACCCCACATCCCCATCATCGCACTCGAGGGTGCTCCGGGGACTCGCACACCGACCCACCCTGTGACGCACCCAGTTTTTCAACCGGCGCGACCAGGGCTGGTCGTCGCGCGGAACCCTCACCCCCCTATAGTCCCCCCTCTCCCTTTTTCGGGAGGGTTGGACCACAGGGTCGCGGGTTCGTGAACCCCACACCCCCCTATAATCCCCCCTCGCCCCTTTTCGGGGCTGCTGCGGGGTTCATTAGGGGATGATACGGGATTCTCGCGCGTATCTCTCCTCTCAATCGTGATCGAGGGGAGCATACCTGCATGGGGTCTCAAATTCGAACGGATGTGATTCCGTGCATACCTCGTTCCACAGCGTCAACAGTCACGCTATTTTGCGTTTTGTGTCCGGAGGTATGAATCGAACTCGGTACCCTGTTGACATGAAGCTGGCACGCTAGCAATACGCCAACACAGGCCACACCGAATCTGCTTTTTTTCGGCCTCATGACCTCTTAGTTTATTAAATCTAAATTTTATTTTTGTGCTATCTTACAATAAATAAATTCCACGCTTTCTATTTTTTGTACCGAGGTATGATTCGAACTCGGCACTCTTTGGGTACGAATCCATCACTATACCAATTACGCCAACACAGGCCACGCCGAATCTGCTTTTTTTCGGCCTCATGACCTCTTAGTTTATTAAATCTAAATTTTGTCTTTGTGCTATCTTACAATAAATTAATTCCTCAACGCGAACAACACTACTTCTTTCCGTTTTTTGTCCTGATGTATGATTCGAACTCGGTACCTTTACGGTACGAAGCCATCACTCTACCAATTACGCCAACAGAGGCCATACCAACTCAATTTTTTTTGGCCATATGAACTGTTAGTTTTTTTTCGTTTAAAATATATAATATCACCTACTTTGTAACGGTTTATTAATGTGATCGTCGTGGCGTCGCGCGTTGGGAGGTGGGAGTCGCTGGAGAGGACAGGGTAGCAGGTTCGAGACGTGGTAAGGTAAGCAAGGTAAGAGTACATTAGTTCTTAACGTAGGTAAGTATTAGGTAAAGGTAGTGTAAGGTTATGGTAAGGTAGTGTAAAGTAAAATAGGAGATGGTAGGAAAAATATGGTAAGAATATGAATGTAATTAATGTAATAATTAAGCGAATAAAAATTAAGGTATATTAATAATAATGAAGATATTCTTGTGCAAAAGAAGAAAATAACACGAGACTGAGCACTTGAATTTTTTTTACAAGTTATAGTTAAGTAATTTTTTTTATAAGTATAGATAAGTAAAACTTACCAATATTCAAAGTATAATAATTAAAATGAACTAATTAAGACTTTAAATAATAGTATAATAGATTAAAGTGATTGAAAAATGAGTGAAAAACCATAGATTAGTCTATTTAAAAAATGGCCAAATTTATAACTACATTAACAATATTAATCATCATAGAATTAGATTACAAAAATTATATTATATGAAATTTATTCAAAATATTAAATACTCTTCGAAGAACGAATTAATGAGTATATTAATGTTTATGATAACATTAGCTTATCAGTTTATAGTACCTGCACCTGTACGGTGTGATTCTTATATATATAATACTGAAAATGGTGTGAAATGAAACACTCCAAATGAAGTTTAGTTAGTTTTATTCAAAACTCTTAATGTATCACAGTATTTAATAATACAATTATATTAATTTATTCTTACAATTGCAGTAATGAAAACGACTAAAATACATTAACATTTATCTAATTGTATATATTAATATATATACATATATATATATATATATGAGCCGTTCAGTGCACACATCGACTAACTCCGAAAGTCAGAAAGTGGAGAAAAGCGATAAAGTAATGTATATTGCTTTTAAAAATTCCTGTTATAATATAAATTGAAAAATATATTTTAGAACGTATAAATACATATATAGCTTACATGTAACGGTATATAAGATTTATAACTATTAATAGTGAGAAAAATAATTATCATTAAAGTTAAAGTTTTGATATGACTTGTGGAGTTAATCAAGTTTTCAACTTTTTTTAAAATTTAAACTTTTTTTTAAAATTTGGATCTTCATTGCAGTCACACTTAAATTGTATATCGTTGGGTTTGGACCTTTCTATTCTAAATTCAGCGCATTTTAGGCCAATTTTCTAGGCACCCTGTGATGGTTACTTTTCTGTTATTGATTTATTGTTCTAAATAAATAAAAAATAGATAAAAACTCTTGGCTACAATATCGCTTTTTTCTTAAATGTTTTTATTATATTGTATCAACTATCTGGTAAAATTATGCCTCGATTTCGACAATAATAACAAAATCTTGAGTTAATAGATTAATAACTATTTTCACCGACCAGAAATTTATTTTTAATTGAGTTAGCTCTTATTTCCGTACTTTGAACAAGTTTCAATAAACTTCAGGAAGTTTTAATATTCTTGTTTTGCCGGGTACACGAATTTTAGTATGTTATTTTTTCAAAGTTTGTAACGTCTTCGATGTCTTTTATAAAACTAGATGAATTTTTTTTGAGACCCACAACACCCTACAGTTTTGTGTTCTTATTCGTAATTCGTGAATTTGAAACCCGAAATCCAACCCAACCAGAACATATACACTACAGAATGGTAACTCCATTCAAATGTTCAAAAATTCAAAATAACTTCATCAAAATGTCTTCTGAAATAAATGACATGGATTCAGTGGTCAAACTAAATTTTCGTTTCACAGTGGCAATTTTTATTCTTTTGGAAAATTATTATAATCATAAAAAGTTATGATTATACCAAGTTCTTTCCCACTAATATCTCATTTTTTTCAAAAAGTGGAGTTAGTCGATGTGTGCACTGAGCGGCTCATATATTAAAATGTATTGGGGTTGTTGGTAACGTGGTTCGTATTGACCTCCTAGTCAATACAGCCTTGCCGAGCGGTGGTTATAGTAATAGTAGGCTTCGGATTGCCTTGAGTTCTTTATTAAAATATTGGCTGAAATATCTTGTCACTTCTAAAGAACAACACTGATTGACTATTTTTAACGATACTTTATTAGCACGATATCGATATCGAATTTACGTTAATTGGCATATCAGCATTGCTCTTACACAATGCAGCTTTATCGATCGCTATTACACAATATATATATATATATATATATATATATATATATATTAATATTAACACATGGTGATATTAAATTAAGTGATAGTTATAGCTAAGAAAAAGAGTGCACCATTTAAAGAAATAATAGAAAGTGTAATATTTAAACAAGAGAAAACATCGGTCCGACGAATTAAATGTTTAAGGCACTCGACTAACATAAGTGTTTGGAAAAAAGCAAAGTCCATTGTCAACGCGTTTCTACCGAATCGAAAAGCAAAGGTATAAAGAGCTTAACCAAGATGCGGCAAGATGGTTGCAAACACCCAAACAGTAAAGAAACTGTTTTGCACAATTGTCTACACTAAAGAGTGCACTTAATAAGTATCCCTATTGATAACACAAGAAATTTTTGTTATGTTAGAAATGTTTAAATATCTTTGTAATTTACGTTACACCATAATGTAATTTGGCCGTAAAGTGGCTCATAATTAAATTAAAACAACAAATTGAATTAAATACAATATATTTATTCATTATTTCATTAACATTTATGCACTTAACTAATCTATATATCACAGTAGACACCTTCCCTGACGACAAGACGGAGGTAGTTACTTGGGACGACATAATTAGTAGTTCGAGCGATTGTTTTTGCTGGAGAACAAGTCTTGAGTAAGTTGAGAGTTGAAGACTATTTGGCTTGAAGTTGTCGTTTACCCTATGAACAAAAACAATGAATTAGTAACAAGTCTCATAAAATGTACTATAAAAAATAAATTACCTGATAAATCAATCAGCGCTGTCTTTCAAGCAACCTCAGCAAGACATTCATTGTAAAACTCAGCAAGTGGTTTTTATAATAACTGATTAAGTTAGTGAGGTTAGTCGTGTTAGTGATTTAGTAAGAGTTAAGTAAATCATGCATAATTATAGGCAGTTATTAAAAAAAAAACACTTGCGAATCATTTACATGAATGAGTTCTCCAAACTCATGATGTTCTGAGCATCAGGAAAAATTTTGAAAATCTGCAAAAAAGAAACATTTTAATAAAGTTTGCATTTATACTGTTTATGGATAAACACACACCTGATTAAATGTTCCTGGTGAAGGAGTCTGTGTGCAGAGCAGCAGAAGTTGAAAGAACCTGAGAAAAAAAAAATTTTAGCAATGTTTGCGTTTATACTGGTTATGGATAAACGCATACCTGATTAAATGTTCCTGGTGAAGGAGCCTGTGTGCAGAGCAGCAGAAGTTGAAAGGACCTGAGAAAAAAAAAGAAATATTTTAGCAATGTTTGTATTTATACTGGTTATGGATAAACACACACCTGATTAAATGTTTCTAGAGAGATTCCTAGTAAAGTAGTCGGAATGAATATTCTTGCATTTTTGAATTGGCAGTTGAACCAGGATCTGGAATAAAAAAACATTAGAAATGTACACATTGATGTTGTATAGAGAATTTATAAAAGTGTTTATGCGTTACCGAACAATCCATCGTGATGGGGTCTGTGTAGAGTTTGAATTTTCAATCTTGAATGAAAAAGATTTTATTCAAACAATGAAATAAAATAAAAAATTAACAGCATGTGAAAATAATGATAAGCTAAATATTGATTTTTAGACACTTACTTGAACTTTCTTCTTAGTCCCCTTCAAAGAGCATTTATTTATAAGTCTTGAATAAGTTTGTATCGTCTTAAAAATGTCATTGTTTGATAAATCTCTAAGTTATTCATACTTTGAATGCTTTCCAAATATTTTGATCGTATCATTCCAGTTGACCGTTGTGTAATAATCACAGTGTCCGATCAAATATGCCTAAAAAACAAATTATGAAGTTACAAATCAGTAGATCTAGTGAAGAATAAATAAAGTATATACATATAATATAAATATAATATAAAATAAAATTGGTTAATAAAATAAAATAAATGTAAATTAAATTTTCACTCGATACTACTTGGCCATTCGATACTTAACAATTTATTTGATATGATACGTTGTGGTTTTCATGTGATTTCATCTTGATGCCCAGAAATATAGTTCTGGGAATTTTCTAGCAGTTTAATAATCGCACTTGGTTTTATATGAAATGCATTAACATGAATTCAAAATAATAAAAATTGAAATGTATTTAATACTTCAAATCCACATTGCATAGACTTAAAAGATTCAAACGACCACATTATATTTTAGTAGTAGTAGAATGGATTAGTGTTTGTTAGTATTTGTTAGTATTATTAGTATGCAAATGGTCATTTGATTCATGAAAGCCACTGCTTTAATGATTTCGTAAATTTGTAAAAGATAAAGCAAAAACTAAAAGTATCAATTAATGAATATCTTGAGTAAATTCACTGTTCGATAAATACATTCATACCAAATGCAATTCCAATAAAACCACAATTAGTGCATTACAGTGACATGAAAACTGAATGATTTTGCACAAAATGCCACAAATTCAAACGTACCTGCACCTGCAAAATACAGAAATTAGTATTGAATTATGATGAACATCATTAAACGTCACCAAAGCTGTCTTCGTGTGCAATGCAGTTTTCAATCAAATTGTAATGACTATTTTAAGTGGATAAAATAGTACATTGAACACAAAGCAGTTCTATAATAAACTAGTTTTGCTTTAAAATTCTTGACGTAATGATTGTGGTCCAATGTACATAATTTGTCAGATCTGTAAATTGAAGTGAGTTAGAAGATAGTAATGATTTAAATAACACTTAGAATTTAACAATTTGTACAGATACTCACGAAAGTCTCGATGATAAAAGTAAACATGAAATAGTAGTTCAGATTTACTTTCACTTTGTGTCTTCCAATTAGAGCAAAAACTTTGAAAAATAGTATTTTATATTTGTATAAACAATAGTGAATATAAAATAAATTATATTATTCCCGAAGTCTCAGGACCGAGTCCAAAATATTCACAACATCACAATCACGATATCGAATATCACAAGGCCAACTAAACAGTTTTATTTAACAGTAGACATTATTATAATAAAATATATCCGGTGTCTATGACACTAATAAGACTTGAACAAAGTATGACGCAACACTGTCGAACACGAAATAAAATCCTAGTGAATCCGCAAAGCGAAATGTACTTAGCACTAGTACAACATACCAAATTATATTCCAGACAGCAAATGGCAAGAGGCCCTCTGGATTCCACGATGTTTTTTTGACCAACTCCGATGAGAAAATGATTTTATGGCATGACATTCCACAGACTGGCATAAACCATAGATATGCAAAAAGAACTTGTAGATGTGCGACTACGGAGCGTGCGAAGATGGCGCTGCATGTACCCGAGCGCCTCTTTGTTCGAAAATCCAACGAATATTTGTTTGAATCTTTTGTTTAAATACATACTTAGTGATATGTTTGATCATTGCATTAAATACATTTTGTATAAGTATATAATTTTTTGCGCACTTTTTTGGTTTTGAAGTGATGTCTAAAGAATGAAACACATTTATAAATATACAGACAATTTTTTTCTATTTTATTTACATTCATATAAGATAACAATTTTATTTTTACTCAAGTCAGTCTTACCCCGTGCACAAGTTGTAAAATTTAAATTGATATACAAAAATGATCCAAGAAAGATATTTAAAATCAAACATTAAATTTATTTAGTCATACCACAAATCTCATTTCTTAGTTGAATATTTAATTGATAATATTTTTTATTCGTGACTTATCAATTTAAGTATTTGATATCAAAGTAGACATACTCAAATCTAACATACCTCATTCGGGTAAAAAACACTACGTCCTGAAGAGCTCATTGAATCAGTAACTAGTTAACAACTACATCTGTCTAGAATATATGTGTAAGAAGTAAACAGTAAAACACAATGACAATATGTATTAACTATATATTTTACACAAAACTATAGACAAATATTAGAAATAAATATAATATATTTAGATATATATATATATATATATATATATATTTATTTATATACTATATTTATATAATAAAGGGTATGGGTGCATTGCCATATAGAATCGGCCCCACCCTGGTATTTAAATAATTTATACGCCATTTTATAGGTCTAAATGATAAAAACCGATATACCAATTTTCAACTTTGTATCTCATCTTATGGCCGAGATATCATTGAAAATATGTGAAAGTGGCCCGTGAAAGAGTTCGTTTGAACGCAAAGCAGTGCGCGAAGTGCAATTTCTTTTATTTATCACTGTGAGTAATTTAATTAAAGTAATAAAAGTATTTTAATTATAATATTAGAAATAACTAGTGGGGTGGGTGGCATCGTGCCTTAAGGCAAATTGCTGGAACTTCCCGTACCGTAACGAAATGTTCGAGGAATACTGAATGTTTTCAAATAAATTATTATAAATATTGAGACATTGTCTAATATTTATAAGTATTTTATAATAAATTAATTAAAGATAACATTAATTTTATTACATTAACAAACTTACAAAAAGCAACCGATGTGTTTTTGTTCTAAACAATAAATACAGACATGACGTTAGTAAAAACTTTGGTATGAAAATAATACAAAAAAAATTATACATATAAAATATACTAGATAAAATGCCAATACAAATATAAAGTAATGATTTGAGCCCGGAAATCACAACTATTAACAAAATATTGGAATGCATATTAGTTATAAATTTTTTTATGATAATCTATTTTAAAAAGGTTTGACTAATTAATATCTGTTACCCTGGTAATAAAGGTTCTATCAAAAGGGAATATCTTTTTATCTAATCAACATTTTTGAACAATAATTTCATCCTGGAACAATTTATCTGAATAAAATTGCCCCATCAATTTTTCCCCATTAACATTAATTTGTTTTTTTTTTCATCTAAAAAGCATATTTTTTATAACAACTTCGTTAGAGGCATTATTAACTTCCCGAAGGAGAAGTTTATGTTCTCATCAAAAAATCCGATTCGCTAACTTTATGTTTTCACGACGTTTCAAGTCATTCTGAATCGAATGAGACCAAATTTGAAAAAAGTATGTGTGTGTATATGTGAACAGATTTTTTGCCGTATATCCACGTTTTCTCAAAAACTGCTGAACCAATTTCAAAAATTTAAAATCCATTCTCCCTGTTAATGGAAATCGAACCATTCAAATCGGTTGATTCGTGCGCCCGAAAACGTGGGCAAAAAATGTATCCACACACACACATCAATTCTTTCTGAGGTACTCCAAAATGCTCTAAAACCTCTGAAACGTGAAGATATGCAAAATTTTCATTTTCGATTTTTGGCCCGTTACTATAACTTACCCTACGGCAAGTTAATTAATATTGTATATTTAGTAAATAAATTACTATTATTATTAGTATTTATCTGAGTAAAAAGTATTAAATTTTTTAAGTTCATTATCACAATAGTGGAAAAACTGTTCATCGAAATGTGCAAAATGTCTAGCCAACACTTCTGGTTCTACGGTATCTGCTGCAGGAGCCTCCTCTACAGCAGTATATAACATTGCTTTCATTTCCTGAAATAAAAACACATATAATATGAGATAAGGTCCTTCATTCTAACACCGCTTGAATAGGTTTTGTTTATGTAAACTGATATAAGTGTCGTCGTCTTAATAAATAATAACACAATACACCAATCTACTTTCGATGGTTAATAAAGTTAGGTACTAATGAAATTCCATGGAACCCTTTCAGGACTATCAATGTGCAAAAATATAAAGTCAATAAGCAAAAAAACAGAAAACTATTAGATCTCTTAAAGACAGCATTTTCGAATACACGAAGGTTTCAAGAACAAATAGTAATTCTTTCTTTCAACTGTCAGTAAAGCTAGGTACTAATTAAATTCCATGAAACCCCTTTAGGACTATCGATGTACAAAAATATAAAGTCAATAAGCACAAAAATAAAAACTATTAAATCTCGATCAACACAAACGAATTAATTTCGCACGCTATATCATTCCAAAGCCAACATTCGAATGAATGAGACTCACGTTGAAAATTTCATAACGAGAAAATTTTATCGGGGCTTATTTAAAAATTTTAACTAAGTCCCAGTAAAATTTCACAGTGGACTTCATTTCATTAAAAATATTACATCAAATTTATATACACGTTAAAAGGGACTTTATTGTAGAATTTAATGAAAAATATAAATCAATTTAAAATCTTAATTAATTTTAATATTATTAACTCATGCAGTTATAAATATGAAATGAAAATAATAAAAAAAAATAAAAACCTTGAGTGGGATTCGAACTCTTGACCATAGACGCAAAAATTAGAATTCACCAACGTTACCACTCAGACAATCTTCCGCTGAAAAGAAAGAATGCTCCATGCTATGCTATAATTAATTTTTATAATAAAACCGCTTTTCATATGCCTCTTATATTATTCCACGGTCAGTTTCGGCATAAAATCTACCATTGTGCCAAATTTCATCAAAATCCCAGACGAGCAATGCGCGGGTTCTCCTTATAAGCGCGTAACAATTGATATGAACCACCTTACACTTTCGACGCATTAAACGCACTGCACATAGTGGCGCCAAAAGTATCAGCGTGACGGCGAAATATTAAACTAGGAATTATCCCCACTCCTTTGTTTTGGAGCATATAGAACCTGACTTCCAGCCTAGAATCGTCACTTTTATTTCTGGAGGTCGAGGGACAAGATCATATCTGTCGTAACAATATTGCCATTTGTTGGATAAGGGACAAGCACTGAAGAACCAGTGCCAGAATAACGAAGTACGTAAGTAAGGTTGTAATAATAAAAAAAATTCATATATTTACAATATATTAATTTTGTATGTGGATGGCCCCGGTGTATATATTGGTGATCCCGACGAAGAAACATTGAAACCCAATGGATAACATTAGGAACTCGTAGAAAAGCAGTGCAGTATTGTGAACAAAGTTGCCATCAAATTTATTCCAGGACCAACTTGGCATGATGTCAATGGTGTCCAAATTCACCGAGGTAAAATATTAGAGGACTATGGAAAGTACCTTAATTATAAAAATTACGGTTTGCACACTCTCTAAAGTTACTTATGTATTATATATGTACGAGTAAATAATAAGTACGTTTTATTATTTTACAAATTTTAAAATATTTTTACATAAGTTAAATCAACTTCTAAATTTCATGTTAATAACAATAATTATTACATATAGTCTACAAGAAATTTATGTGATACGTATAACATATAAATAAAATAATGTTGCATGCATCGAATAAATTTCATATAGATATTATTAATTGTTATTATTTATTATTTATTAAAACATACATTAATAAATGTACTTATGGGTATATAGAAATAAATAATTTTAAAAAAGTTTGTGCAAACCTTGTATAATTTTCTAATTAAACCAGATTTCATAGACCTCTAATATTTTAACTTTGTATGTTTAGACACCAAAACTATCCACGCACCAAATTTAACCAAATATTTTAATTAATATTTATTTTATATATTATTGCCTTACAAAATATCATTTCATTCTTTGTATTTTAAAAAAGTAAAAAATCAAAAGTTTTTACTTTGCCTTGTTTTAAATTTTAGTACTAAATTATTTTTTTGATTCACTTTCAGCATAAGATTTGTATCTTATCCATTTTTAAGATGCATAAAATAGTATTTGTTATAATAATATAAACGAATATATTTTGTTTATAAATTAATTGCAAATACTTCATAAATCCTTGTATATGATTTAAGGATTATATTGCAAGGTGCATGTAGAACGGTACTGGTTTAGTAATTGCTAATTTTACTAACAAATTCTTGTTTGTATTTTTTAAATTTAATACATATACTAAGGAATGACCAGTAAATTTTCAATACTTAATTATTAATTGTATAAACATG